ATCACTCTGCGCTCCTCCCCCTCGCCCATCACTCTGCACTCCTCACCCCTCATTCTCTCCCCCATCCTCTGTCCATGACCAGCCTGGCACAGGATTGGCTGTACAGTATTACAGAGAGGACAGCGGTGAGATGTGCTGACTGCGCTGTCCTCCTCCTTCCCAGGACCTGGCTTCATCAATGGGTGGCGTCCCGCTCCTCATGCAGCCAGCGATGCTGGAGGAGTGTTAGGAGACGGGGCAGAGGAATGCCGATCATCGGTCAGTGTTTGTGTTCCCGTATCGATCATCCTTCTCTCCGATGTCTTCTACCAGAAGTCTTCTCCATGGGAGGTTCTGCTGATGTCCACCTTCCCCCGATCCCGTCATCTCCCACCAGACTGCTGCCACTCTGTGCTCCCCGTGACCGGCTTCCCCCTCCTCCCGCCCCCCCGCCGCCCTGCCCCCATATACCGGCACCACGTGTACTTTGTTGGTGCAGAGGACAATGATGGAGTGCAGGACCAGATCTCCCCGTTCTACGGTCAGAACATGGAATGATTCTGATTGGCTGCTGTGGTTTCTGCACTCTACATCAGAGCCTTACAATCACTGACCCCCCCCCCCAGCTCCATGTGCATAGAGGTGACCCCAGAACCCCCGACCGCACACCCTGGTCACGCGTGGTCAGCAGCACACGTCCTCTTACTCATGTTTTATACACATCCTGTGCCAACTCCACCGTTGTCCACATTGTCCTGTCTGATTATTGCTCCGGCCGCAGCAGTCATGCGAGTAGTGTAGATCGCAGCAGTGGAACCCCTCCCCGAAAATGTACCCCAAATCTATTTATTAAAGTCACCCTGAAATCTGAGGCGTGCTTTGTTTCTTATCTGAGCCTTCAGGAAAATGGTGGGAGGATGGGATGGAGCCGGGTCCATCAGTACCGGCAATTCACCAGATGGATCAAATGTCATCACCATCAAGGCAAGGTGGGTGTGATCACCTCGGATCTAGACATCCATGGACCATTCATCTGGTGATCCTGCCAGTAACACACTTCCTGTCCTAGGGTGACAACGTTCAGCCACTGCAATGCATCTATGGAGGAGCCACGTTGTCACCCTAGGACAACTACAGAACACTTCACCCTCTCCTTACCATTGGGGGGGAGGTTCTGTGGGCCTCATAGATAGCGGGGACCATGGAACTGTTAGCCATCAGCAGAGAGAACAGGAAGTTATCAGTTGAGGATTTCTGGCAGGAGAGGTTCAAGTCTTCGCTGTGTATTGGTGCTCCATAGATTTGCATGGGGCTGTGTCTTGAGGCCGGTGATAATCCCATAGACATCTGTGGGGCTGTAATGGGTGGGCCTGGCCAGGACAGTGAAGACCTACAGTCAGGTCCATAAATATTGGGACATGGACACAATTCTAACATTTTTGGCTCTATACACCACAATGGATGTGAAATGAAAAGAACAAGATGTGCTTTAACTGCAGACTGTCAGCTTTAATTTGAGGGTATTTACATCCAAATCAGGTGAACGGTGTAGGAATGACAACAGTTTGCATATGTGCCTCCCACTTGTTAAGGGACCAAAAGTAATGGGACAATTGGCTTCTCAGCTGTTCCATGGCCAGGTGTGTGTTATTCCCTCATTATCCCAATTACAATCAGCAGATAAAAGGTCCAGAGTTCATTTCAAGGGTGCTATTTGCATTTGGAATCTGTTGCTGTCAACTCTCAAGATGAGATCCAAAGAGCTGTCACTATCAGTGAAGCCATCATTAGGCTGAAAAAACAAACCCATCAGAGAGATAGCAAAAACATTAGGCGGCCAAAACAACTGTTTGGAACATTCTTAAAAAGAAGGAACGCACCGGTGAGCTCAGCAACACCAAAAGACCCGGAAGACCACGGAAAACAACTGTGGTGGATTAGCGAAGAATTCTTTCCCTGGTGAAGAAAACACCCTTCACAACAGTTGGCCGGATCAAGAACACCCTCCAGGAGGTAGGTGTATGTGTGTCAAAGTCACCAATCAAGAGAAGACTTCACCAGAGTGAATACAGAGGGTTCACCACAAGATGGAAACCATTGGTGAGCCTCAAACACAGGAAGGCCAGATTAGAGTTTGCCAAACGACATGTAAAAAAGCCTTCACAGTTCTGGAACAACATCCTATGGACAGATGAGACCGACATCAACTTGTACCAGAGTGATGGGAAGAGAAGAGGATGGAGAAGGAACTGCTCATGGTCCTCAGCATACCACCTCATCAGTGATCATGGTGGTGGTAGTGTCATGGCGTGGGCATGTATGGCTGCCAATGGAACTGCTTCTCTTGTATTTATTGATCATGTGACTGCTGACAGAAGCAGCCGGATGAATTGTGAAGTGTTTCGGGAATATTATCGGCTCATATTCAGCCAAATGCTTCACAACTCATTGGACGCTTCACAGTGCAGATGGACAATGACCCAAAGCAGACTGCAAAAGACACCAAAGAAGTGGAATGTTCTGCAATGGCCAATCACCTGACCTGAATCCGATGGAGCATTTCACTTGCTGAAGACAAAACTGAAGGGAAAATGCCCCAAGAACAAGCAGGAACTGAAGACCGTTGCAGTAAAGGCCTGGCAGAGCATCACCAGGGATGACACCCAGCGTCTGGGGATGTCTATGCGTTCCACACTTCAGGCTGTCATTGACTGCAAAGGATTTGTAACCAAGTATTAAAAAGTGAAGGTTTGATTTATGATTATTATTCTGTCCCATTACTTTTGGTTCCTTAACAAGTGGGAGGCACATATGCAAACTGTTGTAATTCCTACACCGTTCACCTGATTTGGAGGTAAATACCCTGAAATTAAAGCTGACAGTCTGCAGTTAAAGCCCATCTTGTTCTTTTCATTTCAAATCCATTGTGGTGTATAGAGCCAAAAATGTTAGAATTGTGTTGATGTCCCAATATTTATGGACCTGACTGTATGACAATGGGTGTGAACAAACCGTGGAACCACACTCGTTGGATCAAGGTAAGTATGCATCTGTGGAGGGGGAAGGTGGGTTAGGTTGGGCCAGGTGAAGGAGGCAAAATGCACTACTCCTTTAATGCACAGACCATACTTGGCAAAAAAGTGTAGATTAGTCTTTCTCAAATTTTTTTCCCAGAGGAACCCCTAAAATAATTTTCAGCTCTTGGGGAACCCTTACAATGCCAATACTTTGAATGGCAAAAGTGTCCCTTACATTGGTGGTCCTTGAGAAGAATGCCCTCCTTCTAGTGGTGGTCATGTCGCCACCCTTACAGACAGCTAAAACGATACTTGGAGTCATGCTGTTGGCTTTGCCATGTGGAGTTGGTTCTGGAGTTATCTAGGCACCATCAGATGGGATCTCTATCGGCCACTGCTCAAGGAACCCCTAGCAACCCCTGGAGGATTCCTGGCTGGGAATGGCTGAACAGAAAAATCATTGGTTCCATGCCACTGGTTTTGCCAAGTGTTGATGACTTCAGAACTATGCAAGTGCCATCAGAAGGGAGGTCAACCAACCACAGCTCAAGGAACGCCTAACCACCTCTGGAGGAACCTTGCTTGAGAATGCTTGTCATAGAATGTTGGGTTATACTGCCACGTACAGGGGGGATGACGCTGGCAAAAAGAAAAATTGTAAGCCAGTCCCAAGAGCTTATTGATTAGGAATGGCTGGTGTAGGCTCTGGACCCATGGAATATCCAATGGACTTGGGAGATCAGGAAGGAATTAGAGCAATCTGGACAACACTTTATTCTGCTTTTCTGCCTTCTTCTGGGCCAACTATTATGGGTTCAATGTTCTGAGGATGGAAGGTTTTTATTTTTGTCTTTTGGTTGAACTCAATGGACATGTGTCTTTATTCAACCCAACTCTAATCAGAGGATGTCTTAGTGAAGCCACATCCAAATTATGCCATAGTATGTAGCCACCAAGACATCCCATAATATGGAGCCACCAAGACATCCCATAATATGGAGCCACCAAGACATCTCATAATATGGAGCCACCAAGACATCTCATAATATGTAGCCACCAAGACATCTCATAATATGTAGCCACCAAGACATCTCATAATATGGAGCCACGAAGACATCCCATAATATGGAGCCACCAAGACATCCCATAATATGGAGCCACCAAGACATCCCATAATATGGAGCCACCAAGACATCTCATAATATGGAGCCACCAAGACATCTCATAATATGGAGCCACCAAGACATCCAATATTATGGAGCCACCAAGACATCCAATAATATGGAGCCACCAAGACATCCCATAATATGGAGCCCTTGAGATTTCAGCCAACAGGATTCTGTAAATGACTTGTACAGAGATGTCAGCCATGTGGGATGTGGGTCTCCTCGAAGCATCATTTTCACCCAGCAGCTTCTCTCGCTCTAGTGATTTTCTCTGCTCATGTATGTAACATGTAAAACTATTGTATGACAAGACTTTCCCAGCCGAATCTGGAGGAGTTTGCTGGAAAGAAGTGTCAGTGTGTTCTCCTGTCCTGAACGTTTCCAGATCTGAAGAGGTCATCAGCCATTCATTCAGCCTTTTAATTCACAAATCTCACTCCACACATACTGATCACACATCAAATTGAAGGACGGAGATGATGTAGAGGCCAAATTGTGTCTTTATTGTCTTCATCTGATCACAGGAGGGACACAGAACACATGGGGGAAGAGGGAGGGAAATTCAGGAATAAGTGAAATAAATACATGACAACTGTACAAAAAGCCACCTCTGAGTCCACCCGTCACGCAGAGAGATGGGAATAAGGCTGCTGATGACTCTGGTGCTGCCAGCCTCTCTGCCTCCCTCCCATCGCGCTCTCTCTTCCCCCATCTCTACCATCATCCCCCTGAAGACTACTTTCTTCCAACCTCTAGTGGTGTTCCTGGGGTCTCCATGCCCCCCTCTCTTCGGTGTCCTTGCGAGGGGAGTTGTTAAGCTCTGTCTCTAATAAGCCCTTTACTTCTGGGCTGGCACCAAGTCATCGATGGGCTGTCCCTTCTCCAGCTTCTTCTCCATCTCAATCATCAGCTTAACACCATCAACCACCATCTGGACCTGATCGACCTCAGAGAAGCCCAATCTGTCAGCATTTGAGATATCAAAGGTGCCACCAACTGCAGCTGTGTCAACACCACCTGTGGAGGAAGAAGATGCACATCTGAGTGTACTGGATGGAAACACTAACCTACAAGTGATGTGCTCGTCGTGGCTTCAAGTGGAGGACATTTGTTTGATGTTACCACCAGAGTGACCTTCCAGATAAGACCACTGTAGTCTCATATCAATGGCACCCATCCAGTCTTATATGGAATGACTATCTAACATAAGAACCCATTCCACCCCAGGTTTTCAGATCATTTCTGGTGCTTATTGACTCAATGTTTATTTTGGAGGACCACCATACTATGTTTTATCTTTGAGTACAGAGACTGGGGTTGAGTGGACACAAATCATCATTAAATGTACTCACCAGTGCCTCTCTTCTGCAGACGCAGTCTTTTCAGGATCTCCTCAAATTTGGCGTGTTTGCTGAGGTTGGGAAGCTTAACGTGGACACCACCTCTCAGACCTGTGCCCAAGTTGGATGGGCAAGTCAGAATGTAACCAAGATGCTCACTCCAGCTGAAGGGATGTCCTGCAGCCTTGAAGATCTCCTCAATCTGCACAGAACACACATGGGAACATGTCAGGAGATGGGACAAAGGCTATGAGGGACAAGGTATATCATAACAACAATGTTCCCCGTGCTGTGAACTCACAAAACCAAACAAAGAGCCAAGTGTGAGTCTACGGACAGGACAGGGAACTCTGCAGTGGAACAAAAAAAAAAACAATCTGGCAAACTTTTAGGAAACTAAAACTCTCCAAATGTCTGTCTGCCTTTGTGCAGAATACACCCACATGGATGGTTGCCTGGACTGGCAGCTATAAAACTTGGATCTCACGGCCTATTGATGCTCTGATTGTTTCCCAGGTTCGTGGTGACCTCCGGAATCCACACATTTCAGTCTGGGATAACATTTGTCTCTTATGAGGTGATTCTGACATCTCATAATGTATTACACCTTCTCTAAGAGCTCCCCATTCCACCATGGAGACCTTTTCCAGGCCAAATCCTTCTGATGGATATATTACATATGAGTATTACGATTGTTGATGACGTGTGACCTGCAGATCACATCAGGTGATATGAGGAGATCCTGGCCGAAGTATAAGGGGAAGTGTATTGGTGGACATACCTTCTGAAGACCCTCACAGAAGCGTTTGAAGACCTCCTTCATGTTGCCTCCCTTCTGCATGGAGATGACTCTCAGATGGTCCTCTTCATTTACCCACACGAGGAAGGTCTTGTTGTCATTGTGCCTGGAGAAATAAGAAGGCAACTGAAAGTGACGTGAGCTGGTAAAGACCCAGCACCATAGAGACTCTACAGAGGAGGCCCGACGTGTATTCCTTTACCAGACCCCCATCTATGTCACATCATAGAGACTCTACAGAGGAAGCCCGAGGTGTGATCCTATACCTGAGCCCCATCTATATCACATCATAGAGACTCTACAGAGGAGGCCCGAGGTGTGATCCTATACCTGACCCCCATCTATATCACATCATAGAGACTCTACAGAGGAGGCCCAAGGTGCAATCCTTTACCTGAGCCCCATCTATATCACATCATAGAGACTCTACAGAGGAGACCTGACGTGTATTCCTTTACCTGACCCCCATCTATATCACATCATAGAGACTCTACAGAGGAGGCCCAAGGTGCAATCCTATACCTGACCCCCATCTATATCACATCATAGAGACTCTACAGAGGAGGTCTGAGGTGCAATCCTATACCTGACCCTCATCTATATCACATCATAGAGACTCTACAGAGGAGGCCCGAGGTGTGATCCTATACCTGACCCCCATCTATATCATATCATAGAGACTCTACAGAGGAGGTCTGAGGTGTGATCCTATATCTGACCCCCATCTATATCACATCATAGAGACCCTACAGAGGAGGTCTGAGGTGTGATCCTATATCTGACCCCCATCTATATCACATCATAGAGACCCTACAGAGGAGGTCTGAGGTGTGATCCTATATCTGACCCCCATCTATATCATATCATAGAGACTCTACAGAGGAGGTCTGAGGTGTGATCCTATATCTGACCCCCATCAATATCACATCATAGAGACCCTACAGAGGAGGTCTGAGGTGTGATCCTATATCTGACCCCCATCTATATCACATCATAGAGACTCTACAGAGGAGGTCTGAGGTGTGATCCTATATCTGACCCCCATCTATATCACATCATAGAGACCCTACAGAGGAGGTCCGAGGTGTGATCCTATATCTGACCCCCATCTATATCACATCATAGAGACTCTACAGAGGAGGTCTGAGGTGTGATCCTATATCTGACCCCCATCTATATCATATCATAGAGACTCTACAGAGGAGGTCTGAGGTGTGATCCTATATCTGACCCCCATCTATATCATATCATAGAGACTCTACAGAGGAGGTCTGAGGTGTGATCCTATATCTGACCCCCATCTATATCACATCATAGAGACCCTACAGAGGAGGTCTGAGGTGTGATCCTATATCTGACCCCCATCTATATCACATCATAGAGACTCTACAGAGGAGGTCTGAGGTGTGATCCTATATCTGACCCCCATCTATATCACATCATAGAGACTCTACAGAGGAGGTCTGAGGTGTGATCCTATATCTGACCCCCATCTATATCATATCATAGAGACTCTACAGAGGAGGTCTGAGGTGTGATCCTATATCTGACCCCCATCTATATCATATCATAGAGACTCTACAGAGGAGGCCCGAGGTGTGATCCTATATCTGACCCCCATCTATATCACATCATAGAGACCCTACAGAGGAGGTCTGAGGTGTGATCCTATATCTGACCCCATCTATATCATATCATAGAGACTCTACAGAGGAGGCCCGAGGTGTGATCCTATATCTGACCCCCATCTATATCATATCATAGAGACTCTACAGAGGAGGTCTGAGGTGTGATCCTATATCTGACCCCCATCAATATCACATCATAGAGACCCTACAGAGGAGGTCTGAGGTGTGATCCTATATCTGACCCCCATCTATATCACATCATAGAGACCCTACAGAGGAGGTCTGAGGTGTGATCCTATATCTGACCCCCATCTATATCATATCATAGAGACTCTACAGAGGAGGCCCGAGGTGTGATCCTATATCTGACCCCCATCTATATCACACCCCCCCTTCAATATATGAATCTTATTTCACATGTGCACGTGGACCGCACTGTCATGCTGTGACCAAGGATGGAACAAACCATGACATCTAACCCACGGGAGTACAAAGTGACCACCATAACCTCCCTGACATTGTAATAGTTTGCCCCAGCCCTGGAACTCTGCTTGGCCAGCTTGGCCCACAAGAGAAAGATATAGACAAGGGCAGGAGGAATAATAAAGAATGACAAATATGGTCACCACATTGCTATCCTGTATTGACCCCGTCCTCCAACCAGAATACAAGGTTTTCGTTTCTATAAAGGGAATCTGTGTGAGAAGCTTCTGATGAAAGCTGCCATTCTCTCATTGAAAAAAAAAAATGAAGAAAGATACATCTAGCCTCGCTGACTACATAGTATGAGGCCTTGGGGATGGAAAAGAGACACTTCTGTCAGAAGCTTCTCACACAGGTAACCTGCTTTATGACAGATCTTACTTAATGAAAGCATTTAGTCCACCCAACCACCATTCCCTCTGCTCTAAAAGCAGGAGAGTTCGTCCTTCAACAACATGATTACCCCACCATGGGCAATGGAAGAGCCCTCCCCCCGGTGCCACTTACCAGATTCCACGGCCATCGGGCCAGTCACGGGCCATACCAGCGGCCAGCAGCAGAGGGGACACGGGCTTGTCAAACAGGAAGTGGTCGTCAATCAGCTGCTGCTGCTCGGCATCTGTCATGTCCTTCAGGGGGTAATACTTTCCCTTGAACTCTGCAGCCAGACTGCTGAGGGCTAGACAAGCAGAAGAGATGTATATATAATACAGGTGATGGTATACAGGACTCATGGCGGTATGTATAGGACATGTATGTAATCTCTATGTGGAGCGGTGATCCTGACGGCTCAGATATGGTCTTCTGCCTTGCCTGCACAGGACAGGTCCTCTTTTGTACCGTATATCAGAAGTTCTTGTGGTCTTCCAGCTATTATCCCATTGTTAAGTTTTAGTATGTAAACTAATTCCAGCAACAATCGTTCTGGGAGGACAGAGACCGCGTTACCTATTGTCACCTTCTGGAAACGATTCCTTGGTGGGTGTCACCAGAACTTCCAGATGTGTCACCAGAACTTCCAGAAGCTCCTTACCTTTGATGGACACCTATTGTCACCTTCTGGAAACGATTCCTTGCTGACGCTGGATGGAGTCTACAAGACCTCCGGTTAGCACAGCTTCCACCATAAGACCCCTAAATACTGATGTCTGCCGCCCTCTCAGCCTGGTGTCCAGCTTGGCTCACCCCATCGCCCCATACTATTGGTGGGTGTCACCAGAACTTCCAGAGGTGTCACCAGAACTTCCAGAAGCTCCTTACCTGTGATAGACACCTATTGTCACCTTCTGGAAACGATTCGTTGCTGACGCTGGATGGAGTCTACAAGACCTCCGGTTAGCGCAGCTTCCACCATAAAACCACTAAATACTGATGGCTGCCGCCCTCTCAGCCTGGTGTCCAGCTTGGCTCACCCCATCGCCCCGTACTATTGGTGGGAGTCACCAGAACTTCCAGAGGTGTCACCAGAACTTCCAGAAGCTCCTTACCTTTGATGGACACCTATTGTCACCTTCTGGAAACGATTCCTTGCTGACGCTGGATGGAGTCTACAAGACCTCCGATTAGCACAGCTTCCACCATAAGACCACTAAATACTGATGTCTGCCGTCCTCTCAGCCTGGTGTCCAGCTTGGCTCACCCCATCGCCCCGTACTATTGGTGGGTGTCACCAGAACTTCCAGAAGCTCCTTACCTTTGATGGACAACTTCTCAATAGCACGGCGCTCGCCACGGCTGCAGTGTGGGGGGAGGGTGTATCCCTTGATGCTGCGGCCAGTCCTGACACGGCTGCTCAGAACATAGTTGGGGTCCAGGTCATCTCCACCCTGCACAGAGCAAAATTCATAATTAAGAGTCTCCTTTCACATGTCAGCAATTCTCCCAACAAAAGTGAGATTGGTGGACACAAAAACATATCCCGGGAATATCTACAATTGTAAAAATATCAAAAACAGGCGGGCCACGGCCAGCACATCGCAGTAGTAAGTGAGCATATCTATGCAACAGAGTTTTATCAGAATACAGGTCAGTGAAGAGCCATGAGATCCTTCACCTAGAGGGTCACATCCAGAAACCAGTGGAAGGTCATGAGATTGGCCAAAAATATTTACCCACCCAAAAAAGTTATTGAGTGGGGGGAGGTGAAGGGTGAGTGATGAATACACCTCTCTATCAGTAGACTTTACTGGGCTCAGATGTGTCAGGAGAACATTGGGCCATAGAAGACTAAAATGGCATCACCTCACTTCACGCCACCCCCCGTCCCCATCCATGGACCTTCAGCTCACACAAACCTACCTTCAGGTTGTTCCAGTTCAGGTCGGTCTTGTGCTTGTCGGTGGGTTTGTAGCCATTGTGACGGTCCTCAATGACTTTGTCAAGCAGATCCTTGAAGACATCATAGGATTCCTCATCACCAGCGACACAGCCCACAGTCATGATGAAGGGGTGACCTGCGAAGGAAAACACCGTCATTTCCGATACTCTAGATGATGTCGCACAACGCCAGTCAACCACAAACATGTAACAATACAAAACCCGCATGCAATAAAATGCCGTATAATTACTAAAGCTGGAGAGGATAAAATGACTCATTTAAGCCCCCAGGACCCCAAGGTCCCCTCATGTGAGGTCACTACTAAAAATAAAGTCACAAAGTACGAATGGTGGAACCTTTCAGAGTCCCAGCGGCAAAGATTGTTCTGGTCTTACTGTCTCAACACTTTCACCTGACCTCCTAGGAAGTCTCTAGAACTATCTATCGGCCTCCATCATGAGCTCACATAATGGTCAGCGAGAGCTCAGTCATTACTTTAAAATGAATAATGATAAGAAGAATATTAATACCAGGTCTTTGTTAAGGGTTGGGCTTTTCATTACACGTGGCTGAATGTCATAGTATGATTTGTGGGACTCCCAATTACTGTGCACATTAGTGAACTGATAAAGGTCCAAGAACGCCGCCATACTCCTAATAGCAAATGATGGGGACATAAAACTGGAGATTTCTAGAAAGATGACATAACCATGGTGGACCTGTCCCCCCACAGTAGATCTGAGCATACAATGTCAGCTACCAGTCTAGTCATTTATGAACATCATCTACCTGGGTTGTCCACACCGGTCTGGATGACGTCATCAAGGGTGAAGCCACTGGGAGTACACTTATCTCTCAGCTTCTTGTAGATGTCAGGTGTCAGGGCCTTGGCCATGTGATTATTGTGCAGGGAGAGATCTGGGAATTCCTCCTCAGATGAGAAGTTCAGCTTGTAGGCATTGTGAGTGTTTCCGAAAGGCATGATGAGAGATCGGGCTGGACCTGGAAGAGAGAAAAAGTGGATGATGAGAATGGACTGGTGGGGGAGATATGGATGAGGACCAGAAGAGCTAGTATTGCGCTAGGAGTAGAGGACCTCAGGCTGGTAGATCTGAGGACCAGAAGAGGTAGTGTTGGGCTAGGAGTAAAGGACCTTGGGCTGGTAAGTATGAGGACCAGAAGAATTAGTATTGAGCTAGGATTAGAGGACCTCAGGCTGGTAGATATGAGGACCAGAAGAGGTAGTTTTGAGCTGGGATTAGAGGACATCAGGCTAGTAAGTATGAGGACCAGAAGAGTTAGTGTTGGGCTAGGAGTAGAGGACCTCAGGCTGGTAAGTATGAGGACCAGAAGAGTTAGTGTTGGGCTAGGAGTAGAGAACCTCAGGCTGGTAGATATGAAAACCAGAAGCGTTAGTATTGAGCTAGAAGTAGAGGACCTCAGGCTGGTAAGTAGGAAGGACAGAAGAGTTAGTGTTGGGCTAGGAGTAAAGGACCTTGGGCTGGTAAGTATGAGGACCAGAAGAATTAGTATTGAGCTAGGATTAGAGGACCTCAGGCTGGTAGATATGAGGACCAGAAGAGGTAGTTTTGAGCTGGGATTAGAGGACATCAGGCTAGTAAGTATGAGGACCAGAAGAGTTAGTGTTGGGCTAGGAGTAGAGGACCTCAGGCTGGTAAGTATGAGGACCAGAAGAGTTAGTGTTGGGCTAGGAGTAGAGAACCTCAGGCTGGTAGATATGAAAACCAGAAGCGTTAGTATTGAGCTAGAAGTAGAGGACCTCAGGCTGGTAAGTAGGAAGGACAGAAGAGTTAGTGTTGGGCTAGGAGTAGAAGACCTCAACCTGGTAGGTGTATATTTTGGGAAGTGGAGGGGGGGTGGACTGGTTGTTGACTGCGGCCAGTTGTACTGTGTAGTTCAGATAACGTTTCTCCGTCACGCAGCCAGAGCAAGTGTTATGGTTACAGTAGAGTCAGTGTGTCATAAATATCCCATCACAGGAGGCACAGCAGCTGTTCAAGTCTTCTACACGTGTTATGTGAGATGCTGGAAATGGCTGTTTGCATGCCGGAGATGCCAAAGGAGATTGGTTCCAGAATTACCTCCAGCCCGAAAAGTGCCCCTTCTTGCAGTAGCTCTGGAGGTCTCCTGACGCCTGGCCACCGAGGTCCTGGCCAACCTAGACATGAGGCGTTTAACCCCTAAGAGCCTGTGGTGGATCATGTTGCTGGAGTGATGTGAGTGTACAGTGTGTGCATGGAGGATCGGGTGGTGTGGAGGATCTGGGGTGTATTTATGGAGGATCTGGTGGTGCGGAGGATCTAGGGTGTATGTATGGAGGATCTGGTGGTGTGGAGGATCTAGGGTGTATGTATGGAGGATCTGGTGGTGTGGAGGATCTGGGGTGTATGTATGGAGGATCTGGTGTGGGGTGTATGTATGGAGGATCTGGTGGTGTGGAGGATCTGGGGTGTATGTATGGAGGATCTGGTGTGGGGTGTATGTATGGAGGATCCGGTGGTGTGGAGGATCCGGTGGTATGGAGGATCCGGTGGTATGGAGGATCTTGGGTGTGTGTATGGAGGACCTGGTGTGGGGTGTATGTATGGAGGATCTGGTGTGGGGTGTATGTATGGAGGATCCGGTGGTGCGGAGGATCCGGTGGTATGGAGGATTCGGTGGTATGGAGGATCTTGGGTGTGTGTATGGAGGATCTGGTGTGGGGTGTATGTATGGAGGATCCGGTGGTGTGGAGGATCTGGGGTGTATGTATGGAGGATCTGGTGTGGGGTGTATGTATGGAGGATCCGGTGGTATGGAGGATCCGGTGGTGTGGAGGATCCGGAGGTGTGGAGGATCTGGGGTGTATGTATGGAGGATCTGGTGTGGGGTGTATGTATGGAGGATCCGGTGGTATGGAGGATCCGGTGGTGTGGGAGGATCCGGAGGTGTGGAGGATCTGGGGTGTATGTATGGAGGATCTGGTGTGGGGTGTATGTATGGAGGATCCGGTGGTGTGGAGGATCCGGTGGTATGGAGGATCCGGTGGTGTGCAGGATCTGGGGGTCTGCGCAGAGGGTGTGTACGTGACCCTGATGTAGGCGGTGTGACAATCCGTGAGTGCGGGTGGCAGCACATTTTCGGTATATATAGATCACACAATGTCAAAGCCCCAGCCAGAGTGACAGGTGGCAGCAGCGTGATGTGACCAGGAGGAGGGGGGGCAGGAGGAGTTCACATTGCTGGTAGTAAACAGAGAGGAGTGGGGGTGACATTGGTGGTGGCAATGGGGGAGGGTGAAGGGTAGACATTGGAGGCCCCCACCCCCTTGTCTTCCCCGGGTTACATGCTATAACCTGGCAGGAGTGAGACTTGCTGTTGGAAGAGTGGAAGTTGCAGAAGGGTGAAGGGTAGATCTTTGTGGTGATGGGGGGTAGAGAGTGACCCCGATGGGGGTTACAGGTTGGGGGGGGGTAAATATTGGCGGTAACATAGGGGGTATAGGGTGACCCCGGTGGGGGTTACAGAAGGGGGAGGGGTAAACATTGGTGGTAACATAGGGGGTAGAGGGTGACCCCGATAGTGGCTATGGAAGGGGAGGGGTAAACATTGGCGGTAACATAGGGGGTAGAGGGTGACCCCGATGGGGGCTATGGAAGGGGGGGTGAAGGGTAGACAATGGTGGTGACAGAGGGCGAGTTACAGGAGGGTGGCCAATGGAGTTGCCCCCCACCCCGCCCTCCACATGCAGGTAGGGGTGCACAGGTTGTTCCTGGTCACAATGACAGGTTGTCAGGAAAAGGGGATGTTCTGGGCTGAGATTGGTGAAATGCTCTGCAGATCCCGCTGATGCCATGATGTGGAAGCGATGCTTCTATCACACAGAGACACATGAATACAGCTATAATGATGACAGGGAGGGATGCTCTGCAGAGGCGGGGGAATGGACCAGGACAGGGAGAGATGCTCTGCAGAGGCTGGGGAATGGACCAGGACAGGGAGAGATGCTCTGCAGAGGCTGGGGAATGGACCAGGACAGGGAGGCGCTCTGCAGAGGCTGGAGAATGGAGCAGGACAGGGAGAGATGCTCTGCAGAGGCTGGGGAATGGACCGGGACAGGGAGAGATGCTCTGCAGAGGCTGGGGAATGGACCGGGACAGGGAGGTGCTCTGCAGAGGCTGGAGAATGGAGCAGGACAGAGAGAGATGCTCTGCAGAGGCTGGGGAATGGACCGGGACAGGAAGAGATGCTTTGCAGAGGCTGAGGAATGGAGCAGGACAGGGAGAGATGCTCTGCAGAGGCTGGGAAATGGAGCAGGACAGGGAGAGATGCTCTGCAGAGGCTGGGGAATGGAGCAGGACAGGGAGAGATGCTCTGCAGAGGCTGGGGAATGGAGCAGGACAGGGAGAGATGCTCTGCAGAGGCTGGGGAATGGAGCAGAACAGGGAGAGATGCTCTGCAGAGGCTGGGGAATGGAGCAGGACAGGGAGAGATGCTCTGCAGAGGCTGGGGAATGGAGCAGGACAGGGAGAGATACTCTGCAGAGAGGGTGCAATGCTCTGCAGACTGAAGACATATTCCTGGGATATAAGGCATGGGGGTGATTTGCCTGTGGGGGGGTAAAGCTGCAGATTTGGGGATATTGGGGGGCTGTGGCAGTTCTGCAGCAGCTGTCGTTGGGGGATGGGAGCCCCCAGATAGATATCCCCCAGATAGATATTGGGGGGTGCAGGACATTTTCAGGGTGACAGCGGCAGCCATTGGGGGGTCTGGGAATGATGAAGGGTCTGGGAGTGATGGGGCTGGGAGTGATGGGGGGTCTGGGAATGATGGGGGGGTGTTGGGGGGTGGTCTCCAGGCGGTGGGGGGTCTGGGAATGATGGGGGGTGTTGGGGGGTGGTCTCCAGGCGGTGGGGGGTCTCTGGAAGGAAAGGGTTATGCTGCACACATTACCTGCTGTAGAGACGGAGCAAACTTCAGGGTGACCCGTCTGACTGCCCCGAAATCTCCCAATATATAGTGACCGGGGTCACCCCATTGGTCAGACGGCAGAGGTGTGAAACATGTCACTGTGATGTCATACCCCGATCACATGCTGATTGGCTGCTGCTCTGAGCCCTGCACATGCCTTTATCTGGAGCAGAAGGGTTCACTTTACAGTTATTCTTAGACAGCCCCGCCCCCCTCAGGGCGATCCGCACACAGAGCCCCCAGGGTGACACCTGCCACCCGGCAATAATAATGTCCATCTGCAGCGTATAGACCGATGTTATATAACAGGCCCCTGTGCCGTATACTATAGGGGACCGGGGCCCCTCTGTGCCATATACTATAGGGGACCGGGGCCCCTCTGTGCCATATACTATAGGGGACCGGGGCCCCTCTGTGCCATATACTATAGAGGACCGGGGCCCCCTGTGCCATATACTATAGGGGACCGGGGCCCCTCTGTGCCATATACTATAGAGGACCGGGGCCCCTCTGTGCCATATACTATAGAGGACCGGGGCCCCTCTGTGCCATATACTATAGGGGACCGGGGCCCCCTGTGCCGTATACTATAGGGGACCGGGGCCCCCCTGTGCAATATACTATAGGGGACCGGGGCCCCTCTGTGCCATATACTATAGAGGACCGGGGCCCCCCTGTGCCATATACTATAGAGGACCGGGGCCCCTCTGTGCCATAAAGACCGATGTTATATAACAGGCCCCTGTGCAATATACTATAGGGGACCGGGCCCCTCTGTGCAATATACTATAGGGGACCGGGCCCCTCTGTGCAATATACTATAGGGGACCGGGCCCCTCTGTGCAATATACTATAGGGGACCGGGCCCCTCTGTGCCGAGTATAGACCAATTATATATCATAGACCCCTGTGCAATATACTGTAGAGGACCGGGGCCCCTCTGTGCAATATACTGTAGAGGACCGGGGCCCCTCTGTGCAATATACTGTAGAGGACCGGGGCCCTTCTGTGCAATATACTGTAGACGACAGGGGCCCCTCTGTGCCGAGTATAGACCAATGATATATCATAGACCCCTCTGCAATATACTGTAGAGCACTGGGCCCCTCTGTGCAATATACTATAGGGGACCGGGGCCCCTCTGTGCAGAGTATAGACCAATGATATATCATAGACCCCTCTGCAATATACTGTAGAGGACTGGGGCTCCTCTGTGCAATATACTATAGGGGACAGGGGCCCCTCTGTGCCAAGTATAGACCAATGATATATCATAGACCCCTATGCAATATACTATAGAGGACCGGGGCCCTTCTGTGCAATATACTGTAGACGACAGGGGCCCCTCTGTGCAGAGCATAGACCAATGATATATCATAGACCCCTCTGCAATATACTATAGGGGACCGGGCCCCTCTGTGCAGTATACTATAGAGGACCGGGGCCCTCTGTGCAATATACTATAGGGGACCGGGCCCCTCTGTGCCATATACTATAGAGGACCGGGGTCCCTCTGTGCAATATACTATAGAGGACCGGGGCCCCTCTGTGCAATATACTATAAGGGACCGGGGCCCCTCTGTGCAATATAATATAGGGGACCGGGGCCCCTCTGTGCAATATAATATAGGGGACCGGGGCCCCTCTGTGCAATATACTATAGGGGACCGGGGCCCCTCTGTGCAATATACTATAAGGGACCGGGCACTACACTGTGCAGAGTATAGAGTGTTGTGTAGTCCTGTCCTAAGGTGACAACGCTCCTCCTCCATACATACATTGCTGTGGAGGTTGTCACCCCAGGACAGGAAGAGTGTTACTGGCAGGATCACCAGGGGAAATGAAAGCAGCTGCCACATTTACGGACCGGTCAGATGGTATATATGACATTTTTGGGTTTAGATACATTCTAAAGGGAACCTGTGAGAACAGAAGGTAGGGGGCGCCATGCTGATCCTGCCGCCATCATCTGGTGAGATTGGTCAATCAGGGCGCCATATGAAGACTCCGCAAGATTCAATATCTTTATTGTTCAGCTGGTGACAACAATCCGGACAATGGATGCCAATGTGCTCCGGGGTCACACAATCCCAACATCGGGGCTGGAGGAGAAGAATCAATAGACACGTATAGTGACTGGGAGGACAGAGAATTACCATCAAAATACCCCCCAGAGAGAGAAGAGGAGAGAATATTAATGAGATGCCCATTGGGGGGGGAAAGGGGGCATTAGATATCCCGGAACCAGACAGCAGTCCAGACCAACGATATAAAGGCAGACACATCTCACACTACAGCCTCAGAATGAACTGGATGTATACACAGAGCGTGTGTGGCCGGATACAACCTCAGAATGAACAGGATGTATACACAGAACGTGTGTGGCCGGATACAACCTCAGAATGAACAGGATGTATACACAGAGCGTGTGGCCGGATACAACCTGACCGACAGATACAGACGTCCCCGCGGCTGGGAAGGGTCAGAGTGACACGCAGAGACATGAAATCTCTATTCCTAGAAATGGGGGGACATAAAACTGACCCCACACAGGGGGACCCCCTATACTTCTAGAGAAAGCATGATGGGGAGTGGGGATAAATACAATGAGAGACAAGAGGGACACACCTGAGACACACCTGAGACACGCCTGAGACACGCCTGAGACACGCCTGAGATATACCTGAGACACGCCTGAGATATACCTGAGACACGCCTGAAATATACCTGAGACAGACCTAAGACACACCTGAGACATGCCTGAGATACACCTGAGACAGACCTGAGATATACCTGAGACACACCTGAGACATGCCTGAGACAGACCTGAGATATACCTGAGACACACCTGGGATATGCCTGAGATATACCTGAGACAGACCTGAGACACGCCTGAGACACACCGGAGACACGCCTGAGATATACCTGAGACACGCCTGAGATATACCTGAGACAGACCTAAGACACACCTGAGACATGCCTGAGATACACCTGAGATATACCTGAGACAGATCTGAGACACACCTGAGACATGCCTGAGATACACCTGAGACAGACCTGAGACAGACCTGAGATATACCTGAGACACACCTGGGATATGCCTGAGATATACCTGAGACAGACCTGAGACACGCCTGAGACATACCTGAGACACGCCTGAGATATACCTGAGACACGCCTGAGATATACCTGAGACACGCCTGAGACATGCCTGAGACACACCTGAGACATGCCTGAGATATACCTGAGACACGCCTGAGATATACCTGAGACACGCCTGAGATATACCTGAGACACGCCTGAGATATGCCTGAGACACACCTGAGATATACCTGAGACATGCCTGAAATATACCTGAGACATGCCTGAGATATACCTGAGACACGCCTGAGATACACCTGAGATATACCTGAGACAAACCTGAGATATACCTGAGACACGACTGAGATATACCTGAGACACGCCTGAGATATACCTGAGACAGACCTAAGACACACCTGAGACATGCCTGAGATACACCTGAGACATACCTGAGACATACCTGAGATATACCTGAGACATGCCTGAGATATGCCTGAGATATACCTGAGACAGACCTGAGATATACCTGAGACATGCCTGAAATATACCTGAGACACGCCTGAGATATACCTGAGACACGCCTGAGACATGCCTGAGATATACCTGAGACACGCCTGAGATATACCTGAGACACGCCTGAGATATACCTGAGACACGCCTGAGATATACCTGAGACATGCCTGAGATATACCTGAGACACGCCTGAGATATGCCTGAGACACACCTGAGACATGCCTGAGATATACCTGAGACATGCCTGAGATATACCTGAGATACACCTGAGATATACCTGAGACAAACCTGAGATATACCTGAGACACGACTGAGATATACCTGAGACACGCCTGAGATATACCTGAGACAGACCTAAGACACACCTGAGACACGCCTGAGATACACCTGAGATATACCTGAGACATGCCTGAGACAGACCTGAGATATACCTGAGACATGCTTGAGATATGCCTGAGATATACCTGAGACAGACCTGAGATATACTTGAGACACGCCTGAGACATGCCTGAGATATACCTGAGACACACCTGAGACATGCCTGAGATATACCTGAGATATACCCATGACACGCCTGAGTCACGCCTGAGATATACCTGAGACACGCCTGAGATATACCTGAGACACGCCTGAGATATACCTGAGACGCGCCTGAGACACGCCTGAGATATACCTGAGATATACCCGTGACACGCCTGAGTCACGCCTGAGATATACCTGAGACACGCCTGAGATATACCTGAGACGCGCCTGAGACACGCCTGAGATATACCTGAGATACGCCTGAGATATGCCTGAGATATGCTTGAGGTATACTATACACTATATTGCCAAAAGTATTGCCCCATCCCCCCCTCCATATCATGTGATTCCCGTGTTCCAATCCCCTCCATATCATGTGATTCAGGTGTTCCAATCCCCTCCCAATCATGTGATTCAGGTGTTCCAATCCCCTCCATATCATGTGATTCCGGTGTTCCAATCCCCTCCATATCATGTGATTCAGTTGTTCCAACCCCTTCCATATCATGTGATTCAGGTGTTCCAATCCCCTCCATATCATGTGATTCAGGTGTTCCAATCCCCTCCATATCATGGGATTCAGATGTTCCAATCCCCTCCCAATCATGTGATTCAGGTGTTCCAATCCCCTCCATATCATGTGATTCAGGTGTTCCAATCCCCTCCAAGTCATGTGATTCAGGTGTTCCAATCCCCTCCATATCATGTGATTCAGGTGTTCCAATCCCCTCCATATCATGTGATTCAGGTGTTCCAATCCCCTCCATATCATGGGATTCAGATGTTCCAATCCCCTCCCAATCATGTGATTCAGGTGTTCCAATCCCCTCCATATCATGTGATTCAGGTGTTCCAATCCCCTCCAAGTCATGTGATTCAGGTGTTCCAATCCCCTCCATATCATGTGATTCAGGTGTTCCAATCCCCTCCACATCATGTGATTCAGGTGTTCCAATCCCCTCCCAATCATGTGATTCAGGTGTTCCAATCCCCTCCATATCATGTGATTCAGGTGTTCCAATCCCCTCCATATCATGTGATTCAGGTGTTCCAATCCCCTCCATATCATGTGATTCAGGTGTTCCAATCCCCTCCATATCATGTGATTCAGGTGTTCCAATCCCCTCCCAAATCATGTGATTCAGGTGTTCCCATCCCCCCCATATCATGTGATTCAGGTGTTCCAATCCCCTCCATGGACACAGGTGTATACAATCAAGCCCCTAGGCATGCAGACGTCTTCTACAAACATTGGTGAAAGAATGGGTCGCTCTCAGGAGCTCAGTGACTCCAAGCGTGGTCCCGTGATAGGTCTCAGCTGACAGGAGTGGCCCCCGGTGTGGTCTCAGCTGACAGAAGTGGCCCCCGGTGTGGTCTCAGCTGAGAGGAGTGGCCCCCGGTGTGCTGATTAGCAGTTGGTGTTGCCGAGCCATTGGACAGGGGGACCTGATAAAGGCCGGTGAGTGTACCTGAGACGCCTGAGACATGCCTGAGACACGCCTGAGACACGCCTCGCGTTGGTGACACCTTCGAATAAATAGCCTGCCTGACCCCCCCACACACATATGGATGCAATGGAGCGCTCAGTGTGGTTGGGCCCTCCAACAAATGATAAATAGGGCCCCTGCTGTCCTCACTATCCCCGCCCCCTCCAGTGATCACAGATCAGAGGGAATTCCGAGGACATTACAGCTCAGAAGAGGAGATTATCTGGCACCGCAGAGCGTAATATCACCGACCAATCATCACCTCCCGGAAACTGGAGGAGGGGAGAGAAGAGGCTGGAAAGAGCGCTGAGAGGGGGGCCAGACGAGGTCAAGAGGAGCCATCAGAGACCGCCAACACCGAATATACACCCGGGTATTATCACCGTATATTACACACCCCGGTATTATCACCGTATATTATACACCCGGGTATTATCACCGTATATTATACACCCGGGTATTATCACCGTATATCATACACCGGATATTATACACCCGGGTATTATCACCGTATATCATACACCCGGGTATTATCACCGTATATCATACACCGGGTATTATCACCGTATATTATACACCCGGGTATTATCACCGTATATCATACACCCGGGTATTATCACCGTATATCATACACCCGGGTATTATCACCGTATATCATACACCGGGTATTATCACCGTATATTATACACCCGGGTATTATCACCGTATATTATCTGTGCCAGGTCCCCCCATAGTATTTTGCAGGTCCCATTATAATTTTTCCTAGGTCCCCCCATAGTCTATGCCGGGTCCCCCAAAGTCTTTCCTAGGTCACCCCATAGTCTGTGCCGGGTCCCCCAAAGTCTTTCCTAGGTCACCCCATAGTCTGTGCCGGGTCCCCCAAAGTCTTTCCTAGGTCCCCCCATAGTCTGTGCCGGGTCCCCCAAAGTCTTTCCTAGGTCCCCCCATAGTCTTTCCTAGGTCCCCCCATAGTCTGTGCCGGGTCCCCCAAAGTCTTTCCTAGGTCCCCCCATAGTCTGTGCCGGGTCCCCCAAAGTCTTTCCTAGGTCCCCCCATAGTCTGTGCCGGGTCCTCCCCGGACTGAGTGATGGCGGATTCATGGGACTATTTTGGGGCTTTTCCATATTTCTTGCTGAAAAGGGTCTTTGTCTGTATTTATAGTTTACATTTTTTGGAGGGCTGCTATGTACTCATTCACATTGGGGGGGGGGGGGTGGTATCTGGGGGCTCCCTTGATGGTAAATGTGTCTTCCAGATTCCCCCCACCCCCGATAACCCCGACCTCTAGACTCCCCACAACCATCGGACCAGGGTTGTAGAGAAGAGGCCCTTGTCTTTAACATGGGGTGAGGTGCTTTGCAGTGGGGTGTCCCCTGACTAAGTACCCCTCATATTGAGGGCATACGGCTTGGTATCGTTCAGCAGGGTGGGGGGTCCATGATTGTTACCCCTCTTTTCTGGCCTGTATAATGGTCTGGATGGATTTTTGGGGAGGTTCCTACACTTTTTTTTAAGTGGGGCCCCCCCTCAACATTCATAACAGACACAAAGGGTCTACTATAGAATTTGGGGTCCCAAGCAAACGTCTTAGGATATTGTCTTTCGTGGGGGAGATCCCCACGTCATTTTTTTTGTGGGGGTCCCCCATTACCATCTATATCAGACCCTCATCTAGGATATGATATAGGCTATAGTGTATAGGAGATATATATATACACCCCTCCCCCACCCATCTATATGCACGGCTCCACCAATGAGAGGAAGACTCTGAAAACCCATCAGACCCCAATGGGGAGGAATCTCCTGCTGGATCTCTATACTGACATGGACGGGGGATGGGTGAGGAACGTAAGGATGCCCCATCATTGGATGGAAATGATCGACCTACAGAGGACTGACTTCAAGGACACCCCGAAAATCAAAGTGAAGAAATGATGCAGCAGGCGAGTCCATGAAACGTCATTGCAGCAACTCAGAATGGCCCTCAGTAGTTTGTGTGGCCCCCATGTGCTTGTATGCATGCCTGACAACGTCGGGGGAGGCTCCTAATGAGACCACGGATGGTGTCCTGGGGGATTTCCAACCAGATCTGGACCAGGGCAACACTGAGCTCCTGGACAGTCTGAGGTGCAACCTGGCGGCGTTGGATGGCCCGAAACATGACATCCCAGAGGGTTCTATTGGATTTAGGTCAGGTGACCGTGGGGGCCATTCAGTGGTATCAATTCCTTCATCCTCCAGGAACTGCCTGCATACTCTCCCCACATGAGGCCGGGCATTGTCTGCACCAGGAGGAACCCAGGACCCACCACACCAGGAGGAACCCAGGACCCACCGCACCAGGAGGAACCCAGGACCCACCGCACCAGGAGGAACCCAGGACCCCTGCACCAGGAGGAACCCAGGACCCGCCGCACCAGGAGGAACCCAGGACCCACTGCACCAGGAGGAACCCAGGACCCACCGCACCAGGAGGAACCCAGGACTCACCACACCAGGAGGAACCCAGGACTCACCACACCAGGAGGAACCCAGGACCCACCACACCAGGAGGAACCCAGGACCCCTGCACCAGGAGGAACCCGGGACTCACTGCACCAGGAGGAACCCGGGACCCACCGCACCAGGAAAAACCCGGGACCCACCGCACCAGGAGGAACCCGGGACCCACAGCACCAGGAGGAACCCGGGACCCACCGCACCAGGAGGAACCCGGGACCCACCGCAGCAGGAGGAACCCGGGACCCACCGCACCAGGAGGAACACGGGACCCACCGCACCAGGAGGAACACGGGACCCACTGCACCAGGAGGAACCAAGGACCCACTGCACCAGGAGGAACCCAGGACCCACTGCACCAGGAGGAGCCCAGAACCCACTGCACCAGGAGGAGCCCAGGACCCACCGCATCAGGAGGAACCCAGGACCCACCGCACCAGGAGGAACCCGGGACCCACCGCACCAGGAGGAACCCGGGACCCACCGCAGCAGGAGGAACCCGGGACCCACCGCACCAGGAGGAACACGGGACCCACCGCACCAGGAGGAACACGGGACCCACTGCACCAGGAGGAACCAAGGACCCACTGCACCAGGAGGAACCCAGGACCCACTGCACCAGGAGGAGCCCAGAACCCACTGCACCAGGAGGAGCCCAGGACCCACCGCATCAGGAGGAACCCAGGACCCACTGCACCAGGAGGAACCCAGGACCCACCACACCAGTAGGAACCCGGGACCCACAGCACCAGGAGTAACCTGGGACCCACCGCACCAGGAGGAACCCAGGACCCACCGCACCAGGAGGAACCCAGGACCCACTGCACCAGGAGGAACCCAGGACCCACTGCACCAGTGTAGGGTCTGACAATGGGTTCAAGGAGTTCATCCCGATACCTAATGGCAGTCAGGGTGCCATTGTCTAGCCTGTAGAGGTCTGTGTGTCCCTCCATGGAGATGCCCCCCCAGACCATCACTGACCCACCACCACAACGGTCATGCTGAACCATGTTACAGGCAGCAGAACGTTCTCCACGGCTTCTCCAGACCCTTTCACGTCTGTCACATGTGCTCAGGGGGAACCTGCTCTCATCTGTGAAAAGCACAGGGTGCCAGTGGTGGACCTGCCAATTCTGGGGTTCAATAGCCAATGCCAATCCAGCTCTATGGTGCCGGGCAGTGAGCACAGGGCCCACTAAAGGACGTCGGGCCCTCAGGCCACCCTCATGAAGTCTGTTTTTCTGATTGGTCAGAGACATTCACACCAGTGGCCTGCTGTAGGTCATTTTGTAGGGCTCTGGCAGGGCTCATCCTGGTCCTCCTTGGGTTGATGGGTTAAGGACCTTCTATGGCCCTGTCCAGCTGTCCTAGAGGAACTGCCTGTCTCCTGGAATCTCCTCCATGCTCTTGTCTCCTGGAATCTCCTCTATCCTCTCGTTTCCTGGAATCTCCTCCGTGCTCTCGTCTCCTGGAATCTCCTCCGTGCTCTCGTCTCCTGGAACCTCCTCCGTGCTCTCCTCTCCAGGAATCTCCTCCGTGCTCTCGTCTCCAGGAACCTCCTCCGTGCTCTCGTCTCCCGGAACCTCCTCCGTGCTCTCGTCTCCCGGAACCTCCTCCGTGCTCTCGTCTCCCGGAACCTCCTCCGTGCTCTCGTCTCCCGGAACCTCCTCCGTGCTCTCGTCTCCCGGAACCTCCTCCGTGCTCTCGTCTCCCGGAATCTCCTCCATGCTCTCGTCTCCCGGAATCTCCTCCGTGCTCTCGTCTCCCGGAGTCTCCTCCGTGCTCTCGTCTCCCGGAGTCTCCTCCGTGCTCTCGTCTCCTGGAGTCTCCTCCATGCTCATCTCCCGGAATCTCTTCCATGCTTTCGTCTCCTGGAATCTCCTC